ATTCGTGGATTGGTTGTGTGGTTTGGTTGCGAACATTCCTTGTCTGAGATGACTAATTATATGCTGTTATGTGTGTTATGGGTAGCCGTATGACGTGAATCCTAGTTTGTGATTTATGAGGTGTGAAATGTGGTCGTTTGGCAATTTTGTGCGTTTACTTGAATTGAATAGAAATGCATGGCGAGATTGATTGTGAATGCGAACCATGTATGAAAATTGGTTTGAATGGATGATGAATATATATATGCTTTGTGATACATATATTTGAATGCATAATGAATGTATGCGACGAATGTGATGAATGCATGAGTATGTTTGTAAACATGTATGCATTTCAAGAGTGTCATGAGTCATGTTGCATGTGAAGCATCATGGTATGCATTCTTGTGTTGATTGATTCCTCGGTGAATCTGCAGAACCTTGTGTGCCCTTGTGGGGTGTGAGCGATGGTTATTTATTGATCCCTCGGTGGATTTGCAGAACCTCATATGTTGCGATGGTTATATTTGATTCCTCGGTGAATCTGCAGAACCTCGTGTGCCCATGTGGGGTGTGAGCGATGATTATTTTGGTTCTTCAATTGAACCTGCTGAAATGAGTCGGTACTGCATTTGCATCTGCATAGAGTCGTGTGTCGGTCTCTATGAGTTGCATGTAGACATCTGTGCATGATGTATGGTGAATAAACATGAATGTAGATGTTTATGTAGATTGTTGATAATTGGCATGAATGGAAGGCTTGAAGATACATGTATGTGTGAATATATATATATATATATATATATATATATATATATATATATATATATATATATATATATATATATATATATATATATATATATATATATATATATATATATATATATATATATATATATATATATATATATATATATATATATATATATATATATATATATATATATATATATATATATATATATATATATATATATATATATATATATATATATATATATATATATATATATATATATATATATATATATATATATATATATATATATATGTATATGTGTGTATGTTTATGAATTGATATAAACATTGTTGATGCATATTGTATATGCTTGGTACTCTAGTTGTAAATAATTTATTGTGAATACATTGCGATGTACAGTGTAGTGGGATGAGTTGCGGTGAGAACGCGGAAGACGTTTTTGGACGTTATATGTATATATGTATATATGTTTATGTGCATTATGTATTATGATATTGTTTCTCACCCTTCTGCTGTTTTATAATGCTCTATGAGACATTGCAGATTAGATTGCTGGAGTCTTTGTAAAGTGTGGCTTCATTCTTTTTGGGTCGGTCGACTCTGATATGTAGCACCGGGTAGCTAGGGATTATTTTGATTCTTTTATGATACATCTATGCTTGTATCTGTTGTTGAATGTTTATGTAAACATGCTGGTTGAATATTGTTTATATTGACGAAGTTGTAAATCAACTTGAATAATGTGCATGTATGTGATTACATGTTTTGGAAGTTATCAAATATTTAGATGTTTCCGCCTATGTTTTAAATATTTTCTTTGTGGGTGTTGCCCCGTTGTTGCATATCTGTTAAGCAGGTGTTGTGTATGTTGAATTTTTGGTATAATGTGATATGCCCCTTTTATGCCGTGATATAGATGTACTCTGATGAAAATTTGAATTTATGCCTAAATGATTATTTGTATTATTTAGGGGTATAGAAAGGGGGTGTTACATATACCACAACGATTGTTTAAAGTAATCGTTGTGGTAGGTAGTGCATTACATGGATACAATCACGATCGCATGCCCGTGGTTAAAATCATCGTACATACGATCACACCTTACATCACAACAGTTGGACCTGCGTGATCATATCTCTTTTCTAACTGTTGTGATACGAGTTTTCCGTAGTAGTGACGTCAATTTCCCAATTGTGGCAATGATCACTAGGGGAAAATATCATTCAGAACACCTCCAAATTTTTCTGAGTCCCGAAATATAAGCATAGGAAGGCCATAAATCATTGCAGACGTGTTTCCTTCTTAACGGTAGAAAACCATCATCTCAAAGATCTTCCTTTTTAGTGTCCCTTTGGAGGGGAGATTCACCTGAAGTTCCCTTCCAGTAATGGTAGCAATATAAGGGAGATTACCTTTTTTGACCTCATTATTATCCTCACTTGTCCCAACTTAGTGGTCTATGTGGGGGATTTACCTCAAGGAGATTCTTCCCTGTCTTGCTTGCCTCTGTTCACGCATTCAACCAACTGACCTTTTTTATTAATTTTTCGATGACATCTTTTACTTGGATGCAGTCATCAGTGTTATGGTCGTGTCTTTTATGGAATCCACAATATTTTGATTTGTCCGTCTGGGATGTCTCTTTGACAGGATATGGGGGTTGGATTCCTGCCTTCTGAAATTCAATGTTCACACACTCTTGATAGATCCTTTCACGAGAGACCATTAGAGGGGTGTATCTATCATACTTCCCTTTCATGTTTTGGTAAGAGTCATCCCAACGTCGACGAGATTCTTTTCTAAATGGGCGACTAGAGTAAAACTCCCTAGACGCGGGGTTATCAAAACATATGGTCAAATTTTTCTTATAGAATCATAAAAGGTTCGGCCATATTTAACATTTCTTGAAAATATTTGACCTTCTTCTTCCCCCGCTCTTGCCTGAAAGGATGGTCGCTCAAAGGCTCATTCTAAAAAGTTTAGCAATGCATGCCTTCTTGAGCCCCGTATACTTCAATCGAGATTTGAGTAAATCGATCAATATATAACCGCAACCTTTCCTTCTTCCTTTGAAGGATTTGTGCTATAATGACCTCGGTGATATGACGTTACTTTTGGGACGTGAATTATGCCAAAAACCTTATACGAAGTTCTACATAGGAATCAATGCATCCATCAGGTAGGTCGTTGGACCATAATCGAGTTGTCATGGCCATGGTTAGCGTGAACAACTTATACTTGGAAGCATCATCGACACCAAAGTAACTAAACCGTTCATCTACTAGTTGGACATGTTTATCAGGATCTCTATTTTCGTCATAATTGACTAGCTTGAATGGCGTCTCTATAAAATTTGGGGTTTTGCTTTCCAAAATGTTCACTTACAACAGGTGCTTTAGTTGCACCTTATCAGGGTGAATTTTCGCTTGAATCGGGGTCAGAGCATAACTCCCCCTATCTCCTTCGGAACTCGAAAGAGGGGTCTGATGTTTTTTTTTACTTCTACACTAATCTTTTAATCGTGAACCTCATTTCCCTTATCCCAGTTGGTTCTAGAATCCCAACACGACTTTTTTTTGAAGCAGCTTTTTGAATTGTATTATCGTGGGAAGGAGCGTTGTAGAGGATCTCTTTAAGGCGTTGAAACCTTCCTTTAATAGAATTTGATTTTTGTTGTCGAACAATGTTAATCACGTTATTCAGTAACTCATTGGCGCCTTGTACGTCGAGGTTTTCTTACATCGTATGAAAGCTAGGTAAGGTTTCATGTTGCGCAGCTGGAAGCATGACAAAAGTCTCAAATGGATTGACAAAAACTGATCTAGCCACTTGTGAAGCTCGAATTGGATCCAGATGTGAAGAAACTATCATTATAGGATCTGTAGCGTTTTACTTCGGAGGAAGAGGCATTGATTACTTGCTTGCCGCTAAGGCAACAATGGCAACTTTTTGTGCAACGGTGGATCAGGTAACCTTGGATCCAACCATATCAGTTGAAGATGAAAATCGGTGATACAAAAATCTTGAAAGAAATGGGATTGAAATTGTGTTAAGTCGAATAAGAACATGATAGATCTTCGCGTTCGAATACGATTACTTGCTCCGGTGATCGAAAAGAGTTACGAACTACGAAAGTCGAATAATAAATGCGAATTTGAGAAAATCGTAAGAATCAAGAGTCAATTCCCACATACGACGGTATTGTTCCATTATAGAACAAAAAATGAAAAGTTTGAATTGAGGTGATGGTAGATCGCAATCTCTTATGCGGTGGAGTGGGGGAGGGGGTACATGCAAGGTTAACATTCCAACAATCAAGTCAATATATGAAGAAGAAGAGGGAAATAAAATTGTATTTGAAACTCGTTAGATCGATTTGGCTCTTGCTCTATATATAGTAGGAGAAAATAACAAACAAACTATTTGCTCGTCATTCTCTGGAAATGACCGTTGAATGTGCTTTACAGTTGAGATCTCTTAAAATCGTAGAAATAACTATCATCTCTCATTAGGAGGATTCATAATGGAACGCCCTTTATTAGAATGAGATGACACAGTAAGATTAACTCGTTCGAAGTCTTTCCAATCGGTCCAGAAGAGGGAAAAAAATCTTTATAGACTTTATTAAGAAAAAAATATAAACAATATCTTATTAGAAAATAAATATATCATTAATTTTAAGTAAAAATATGAGAGAAAATTAAAATTATTTGAATTAAAAAAAGAAAATTATTTTCATAAATGATGTTTAATATAAAATAAAAAGTGTAATTTAACTAAACTTTTATTTTTCAAAATCAAGTTTTTGTTTTTATTTAAATAATCGAATTGTTGTTGTAATAATCTAAAATCAAGTAAAAAAAGAAGTAGAACCCGTATTTGTTTCTGGGTCGGGTAGAATCATTTTAGGTCCAAAAAACTCGATTTGAAAAATCTCCAGCCAAACAACAAACAAACCAAAAGCAATTGTTACACCTTCAATGGTGATTTTCTCGAGAAAATTCTAACACCACATTTTTTCTCTCTTTATCCAATCATTAGATCCGATCCAAATCCCCTTCAGGTTCAGCAACACTTCTTCACCCTCTTCCTTTTTTCATTTTCTTTTTACATTCTTTAATCAATTTCCTATAATTCATTCTGAATCGCGTTTTTTTTTCTTCTTCAGATCAAGATTCGCATTGCAGATTTCGAGAAAATTTCATTTTGATTTTCGATTTGCGTTTGAAATCGAGCGAATCTTGGATTCACATCGACATGGCTATGGTGGATCAACCTCTATATCCTATTGCTGTTCTAATCGATGAGTTGAAAAACGAGGATATTCAACTGAGGCTGAACTCGATCCGTAGGCTTTCAACGATTGCGCGTGCTTTGGGTGAGGAGAGGACAAGGAAAGAGCTGATTCCTTTCCTTAGCGAGAATAACGACGATGATGACGAGGTGCTTCTTGCAACGGCTGAGGAATTGGGGGTTTTCGTTCCTTATGTTGGTGGTGTGGAGCATGCTAGCGTTTTGCTTCCGCCTTTGGAAACTCTTTGTACCGTTGAGGAAACTTGTGTTAGGGATAAGTCAGTTGAGTCGCTCTGTAGAATTGGTGGTCAGATGAGGGAACAAGATTTGGTTGATCACTTTATTCCTTTAGTTAAGGTAGTTGCTAACATAATTTCATTACATTTTTATAGTTATCAGCAGCGCCGTTGTTTAGTGAAGTTAAAATTGATCCATGATACCATTATAGTTAAGATTGATCCATGATACCATAAAAATAGAAAATTGCATACAAATATAACTGTTGCAACTTGCAACCACACTTGCTGTTCTGGCTATTGGGAAGTCAAAAACCTTTTAGGTTGATTTAAGCTATAGTAGCTCTATATCGTAGCTACATATGAGCAAATATTGATGGTTTCACGATACTCTGTTTAGGATTAAGTGTTGTCAACTAGAAACTGTAGTGGCGCTGTAGTATTATAGCATAGAAGAGTTTGAACAAACTTTTATTTCCTGTGATCTGTGGTTGGTTTAAAACCTTTGGTGTTATTATATTAGAAACCCTGAGCTGATTGTCATTCATTGTATTTATCAATTTGTTTGTTTTGTTGTGATATCAAATGTGTAGAGGCTAGCTTCTGGTGAGTGGTTCACTGCCCGAGTTTCTTCATGTGGCTTGTTTCATATTGCGTACCCTAGTGCGCCAGATGCGTTGAAGACTGAACTTAGAGCCATATATGGGCAGTTGTGTCAAGATGATATGCCTATGGTTAGGAGATCTGCTGCTACCAACCTGGGAAAATTTGCTGCTACTGTTGAAGCTGCTCACTTGAAAACTGACATCATGTCTGTGTTCGATGATCTCACACAGGATGGTATGTGAAGTTGATATGACTAACTCCTTCACCACTTTGTGGATCTGTTAAACAAAAGTAGGCTAAACATTACGATCTTTTTGGTGTATGTGAAGTTGATATGACTAATTCCTTCACCACTTTGTGGATCTGTTGAACAAAAGTAGGCAAAACATAATGATCACCTGATATGTGAATATAATATAACTATATATTTAGTTCAATAGTTTTGACATAGATAGCTGGTAATATATAGCTGTCAGTGATGTTCTAAAACATCTTTCTGTCTACGGCTTTCGCAAATGGGATAATGAAATTCTATGCTTGACTGTGATCACTTCATGTAGGTAGGGAGTTAAGTTTATATAAGTTTAATAAACCAACAAGATAATCATGAGAGAAAAAGAAGCTTGGAATTTCATTAAAAGTTTAGAAAATTTTGGAGTCACATATAAGTTTCAACCAGGTCATATATAGTGTGATTTTGAAAGTTAGTCACCAAAGTACCTAAAATACAAGAAATATTCATCTCTCATCAAAGTACCTAAATTATCAGCACCAAATAGGCTTCAACTGTTCATATAGCTATGAATGTTGTTCTAAAATGTGTTTTCGTCTAGGGTTTTCACAAATGGGATGATGAAATTCTATGCTTGACTGTGATCACTTCATGTAGGTAGGGAATTAAGTTTATATAAGTCTAATAAATCGAAAAGAAGGTAATCATGAGAAAAAGAAGCTTGAGATTTCAATAAAAGTTTAAAATTTTTTGGAGTCATTAAGTTTTAACCAGGTCGTGTATAGTGTGACTTTGAAAGTTAGTCACCAAAGCACCTAAAATACAAGTATTCATCTTCATCAAAGTACCTAAATTATCAGCACCAAATAGGCTTCAACTATTCATATTTAATCTCTGTTGATCTTAGTTTCTTGAACAATACTTTTCATTTGTGCAGACCTTGTCCGATGAACTTACTTTGTTATTGATAATTTTTATAAGGGAAATACTGCACATATATTTAATTCCAGTGAGGCAAACAAGTGGAACGTTAACTAAATAAAGGAAATTCTCAAGCGGGCATTTTCATTATTGTTGCCTACAAATCTTATTTGAAATTGGCATTCTGATAAATTTTGTTTGTTCAATGGTTTTTTAGATTATGTTGCCTTAGAAGCTTCACATTATTTGTGATTCAGATGAAAGTTTTAAGTTTCTGTTAATCTTGAAGTTTATTTATTTTCCTTAATCCTTATTAGTAACTGAAGACATTGTCAGTTTATTAGTATATTTTGCTGACCAGTTTAAGGGAATATAATTTTTGTTTGTTATGCTCATTTATTGAATAGCAAATTGTTTTTGAAGTAACCTACTGAATCTATCTATATGTATATAAAAATAATAACTTATTGACTCTTGTTCTTGTAGATCAAGATTCTGTTCGGCTTCTTGCTGTTGAGGGTTGTGCCGCTCTTGGAAAATTGTTGGAGCCTCAAGATTGTGTGGCACATATTCTTCCTGTTATAGTCAATTTTTCTCAGGTATATTGAGTATTAATAATATTATGTGGGAAGATTTGCATTAGTCTTGCTAATTTAGTAACATTTAATTTGCCAAAATAGTATAAGAAAACAATTTTGTTCAACGATTATAAGAGGTCCACGGTTGAGCTACATTTCATCCAAACTTTCTGTTTGTGATTCTTGTTTTAGTATAGCTTTAGGCATCCTTTCACATGAACATAGGCATGGGATTTGTGTTTTTATTGGCAGAGATGTATCTTTCTAGTGTAAGCTTCTGACAATGTTTTATGGTATGTTGGGCCAGAAAGTGCCAACTAGTGCATAAGCTAAATTTTGCATAGATGAGAATATTGAGATGGATGAGTGGACATACAAGAACAGTTAATGTTAGGATAGAATATGTCAAGAGTGTGAAATACAAGAAAACTGTAACCAATGTGGATGTGGATGCATTAATGTTAAGTAAAATAGGCTAGTTGTACAATAGTAAGGATAACGCAAAGGACATCATTTATCATCCTAAAGCACATATTTATGTGCTTAATAAATACTAAACCCTAAATGTTAATCATGCCCGAGTTGTAATGAGTAACTACTGCATTTGAAGCTCTTCAACAACTGAATGAATTAAAACCTTGGCTATAGGTCTCTTGGAAAGTGTATTATCTCTTCTAGTGTCACTTTAGTTGGTTGTCAACATGCTCTTCATATTCATGATCTCATCCTTTTTCATTTTACTTCAAGGAAATCTAGGTGTTTTTCATAAGAAAAACAAAAAACAAATGTTTTTATTCGTTTATGTTGTTTCTAGAATGATGTTCTACTACATGCTTTATTTCGTTGAATAACTTATCATGCAGGATAAGTCATGGCGCGTTCGTTACATGGTTGCTAATCAACTCTATGAGCTCTGTGAAGCTGTTGGTCCTGATTCCACCAAGTAACCTTTCTTATCCATTTTAATGAATTGTTTTATCATGATTTTCCTGCATGCCTTTATTCACTGGTGCTTTATGAAAATCTGTTTTTGATGTTTATATAATAGACATTCTTCAGATAGTCAAAAACCCCACGCATCTTGATCTAATGTATAAAAGTTATAACTCTATCAGTTTCTTCTTGATGCATGACATGATTTAAAAGTACTTGTTTCTAAGATTCTAATTGGTTGTTTATTATGATGATGACGTATTTTTAGGACGGAATTGGTTCCTGCATATGTTCGGCTGCTGCGTGATAATGAGGCGGAAGTACGTATTGCTGCTGCTGGGAAAGTGACTAAGTTCTCCCGCATATTAAGTCCTGAACTAGCCATTCAGCATATTCTACCATGTGTAAAGGTACAAAATTACCATAAAAAACACTATTCTCCCAGGTTAACATTTTTTGTGATACTTTTGATTTCTATAGACATTAAATTGTAAATCACTGATCAAGTTTGCCTGTTTTGTAGGAGTTATCGGCAGATTCATCTCAACATGTTCGCTCTGCATTGGCTTCGGTTATAATGGGAATGGCACCGGTCTTAGGGAAGGTATGAAACTCTATGATTCTAAGCACATAGGTTGTACTGGCATTAATTGACATATTTGATAATGTCTACCCAAATGAAGGAGAGCTTCCATGCATGATTCTTGCTTTTAATATATTTTTATGGTTATTGCAGGATGCAACAATTGAGCAGCTTCTCCCTATTTTCCTCTCTCTTTTGAAAGACGAGTTTCCTGATGTCAGGCTAAATATTATCAGCAAACTTGATCAAGTGAACCAGGTTTGTGATTAAAATTGACATTCTTTCAGATTGGCAATTTACATCTCAAATGCTTTTTATTACTTTTCATACATTCCCTTTATTGAAGCTATGGTCATGTATATGCATGTGTTCCTTGCAGGTTATTGGTATTGATCTCTTATCTCAGTCGCTTTTACCAGCTATCGTTGAGCTTGCTGAGGATCGGCACTGGAGAGTTAGACTTGCAATCATAGAATATATACCATTATTAGCAAGTCAGTTGGGTGTTGGCTTTTTTGATGATAAGCTTGGAGCTCTTTGCATGCAATGGCTAAAGGACAAGGTTGGTGAAGATACTAAACTTTATATTTACATTAAAAGCATCATAATGACTTCATTTATGTTGGTTATCGCTGTAGGTATACTCAATCCGTGATGCAGCTGCCAATAATGTCAAACGCTTAGCAGAGGAATTTGGACCAGAGTGGGCAATGCAGCATATTATTCCCCAAGTATTTTTACCATATGAACTTAATTTCTTGATGTTAATCAGCATTATACTTTAAGGCTTAAACTATGGAAAGTATCCTCTCAACCAATGCTTTGAAAATGTTTGCTTAAACTTTTAGGGCTTTGATCATAATATTTATTTGCCCCTGCCATGAAAAAAAATCAAAGTTAAGCAATAAAAAAATGCAAAAAGAGTTTAGGTTTCTTGATGCATTCAATAATTCTTAATAATTTAGGCGTTGATATCTTGGCCTTAGTATGAAGGTCCATAATCAACTATTGCCTAACACAAAAATTATAAAATAATGCTAATTTTGGAAAAATAGAAAGTTCTAAAGAGTGTAAAAGAAAAAAGTGATGTGAAATGAAATATGGAAAGAAGTTGGAACATGCAGAAGAAATCATTTATGGACGTGCTGAAATTTGAAGAAGATCAAATAAAAATTGTATCAATTTGAATAAATCTATCCATAAATTTTCTTATGTTACAGTAGATACTTCTCTTTCAATTATAATGTATTTCAAAATACTCCCCGAATGCTTGTGTTATCCATGATTGTTGTGCTTTTCACTATTAAGCTAAACAAGTATCTTTGCAGGTTTTGGACATGATTAATGATCCACATTACCTGTATCGGATGACAATTCTACATGCAATTTCTCTGTTAGCTCCCGTTCTGGGCTCTGAAATTACTTCCACAAACCTGCTTCCTCTAGTCGTTAATGCATCAAAAGATAGGTAAAATTTCGCAGTCCTCACTTTGCGTGTCTTTATTTGAGCCAGTACTGATAATATGTCATGCAGGGTACCCAATATCAAATTCAATGTTGCTAAAGTATTGCAGTCTCTCATTCCAATTGTTGATGAATCTGTAAGTAACTTCCATTCAAGGTCTCATCTTTAATGCACTTCCTATGTATGCTCAAATTTTCTGTCAACTTATTTGAATGTTCTATAAAATTGAGATCTTGGTTTAGTTCATTTTATGCTACTTTGATTTGGTTGTTTGTTGAATTCTTCTCTCCAAAAGAAATTTGAATCTTGTCACTAGACTTTTGTTTGTTGAAAGCATAAGTTTACTCTCTGTCAGAATGAAACATTCTTTTATTGTCTCACAACTAAATACCATTTGAACAATGAAGGTTGTGGAGAGTACCATCCGTCCATGTCTTGTTGAGCTTAGCGAGGATCCAGATGTTGATGTGAGGTTTTTCGCTTCTCAAGCGCTACAATCTAGTGATCAAGTGAAGATGTCCAGCTAGATCAATCTACATACTGTCTTTAGTTATTTTTTTACTTGTAATATTCAATTTGCTCAATCCTTTTGTATTAAGTCATTAATGAGATCCTACTTTGCTTTTTTCTTTCTATCTGATACCTATGCTACCCATGTTTTATGTAGTTATGAAAACGTTGTCCGGAAGTGGGGATGATTTTTGACGTACGATCACTAATTTTATGATTAACCATTGTGGTTATTTTGTAAGAAGTTTTGCTTTGCCACTAGAAAGAATATATGAGCCTTGTTTGTTCTACTAGACACACCCGTGCAGAGTCATGTCTGAAAATTGTAACCAAGAATATAAGCAGTGAATACATTGTATATACGTGCTGGTTCACATTCCCGTTTGGATAGTTCACTAAAATTAACGAAACAAGTTATGCTATGTAATACTTTTTATAAATACAAAAAAGTAATAAATTTTTATATCACAATTTTGTCTAGTTATGGTGACTTAAATACCACATTATTGATCTGAAAAATGTGGGATCTACGACATATTTGGATAGTTTGGTTGAAGATGCTATGGGAGATGTTATGCCCTTGGCATTATGATGCTATGGGAGATGTTATGCCCTTGGCATTATGACATTTGGATAGTTTGGTTGAAGATGCTATGGGGATGTTATGCCCTTGGCATTAGTCATATTTTCCTTTCGTAGCAGATTAGTCATATTTTCCTTTCGTAGCAGATCCTTGGTGTATTTGGTTTAAGAGAGAAGAAGTGAGCCATTGAGTAAGGAACCTCTATTCCAAGAAAGTAATAAGTTGCCTGGTGTCTTTTAGAGAGAAACCCAAATAGAGCTTGTGAATGAAATATTTAAAACACTTGTACTGATTATATTTACGGGTGTTTGCGGTGCAGTTTGAGCGGTTTTGACGTTAAAAATCATCTGAATCGCAAGAGAAAAAAACATGTGGTTTGGTTCGGTTGGTTTTTAGAAAAAAAATCAAACAAAATCAAACAAAATCAATGCGGTTTGGGTTGGTTCGGTTGATTCGGTTTTTTTACAAGATTTTTATTGAGTCATGCATACATATATAGAGAACATTATAAATTTGTGTTTAGTCATTCATACATTATCAAATAACAACAAAATTTATCATATTTAGACAAAAAATCTCATCCAATATACGAAATCCAGGTTAAACAACAGTGAAAAAAAATTATAGCATAAAACAATATAAAAAATATTATAATAAAATAGAAAAAATAGAGGAGAAGGGAGATTGAAGAAGTTGAAAAAGAAAGAACATAAGACATGTTAGATTAGAGAATAAATGTGCGATAAAAACGTAATTAGAAGAGAAAATAGTAACAAAAAATGAGAACATAAAAGATAAAGAACAAGTGAGATGAGAGATTAGTGTAGAAGAGGTGAGACTTACATGATAAAGAAGATAAGAATAATGCGCAATACTATTAGGAAATGTTTGAGAAGATTGAAACTAAAAAGTTAAGTGTGAGTAAGAGAAAATATTTTCTAATTGTAAGGTTAAAACATAATGAGTTTGAGTTTTGGGTTGGATGTGGGATAAGTGAAGTTTGGGTTATAACATAATGCGATATGGTTTGGTTTAGCTCGGTTTCCAAAATACAAACTGCAAACTGAACTGAACCGTACAGTTTTGTTAAAAGATGACCCGAACAAATCCGAACCAAATGTGACTTTTTGCGGTTTCGGTTTGGTTTTCGATTTTCTATTGGGTTGATTTGATTTTGAACACCCCTAATTATGTCATCAACATAGATCAACACAAGAGTAAGCTAAAAAAGTTTTAGTTCTAGGGAACAATTATAAAAAGATCACCGTGAGTTTGTTTAAAGTTGTATTTTCGAAAATGAAGATATTTTTAGTTGGATCAAGAATTGTATTCTTTATGGATGATTGAGTAACCTAGAAACACACATTTTATTGAGAGGAATTTCTTATCAAGGGGTGGAAAAATATCTTATGAAAAATCGATGTCTCTTAGATTTTAGAGATTCATCTCCGGACGCACCTTATGCATAGGTCAAAACTCACAAAAATACTGTGTTTTTGAACCACATCCCAATAATATGACTTGAATTATTCTGAAATACATCTTTGAAATGTCTCCGAAAATATATTTCCAAAACTCACAAAAATATTGTGTGATCCATATATGAAACTTATATACATTTATTGATAAATCGCTGCTTTTAGTAAGACCCATATATATAAAATACAACCATCAAATATACCGAACAATTCAATTAAAAAAACAAGTAAACCTTTATTCGACCAATTCAAACATCAAAAGTTTCTACTTCCAATTCAAACTCAAAAAAATAGCATATCGAGCGAAAGTGAGGTCTGTGTTAGGAAGCAACTACCTAAGCCAAAAGCATGTGTGTAACATATCATAAGTATGTTAATGCACCATTTAAAAATAAGTGTATTTGTGAGTTCTAATTTTCGGAGACATTTCAGAAATGTATTATTGAAATAATTTAAATCATAAAATTGGGGTGTGTCTAAAAAAAGAATGAGTTGTGTGTACATGAGGTGCATTTGAAGATGCGTCTCTAGAATTTGAGGATTATTTTTGACTTTTCACGAGGTGTCATAGTAAATCATAGAATGTATTAATAAATCTCCTTCATCGAGTGAGTCTAGTTTGTGTTCATTATAGGGTCTGCGTAAATATTTTAAGGATTTTAATAATTCGGGAATGATAGGTTAACAAAGAAAATATTCACTTATTTTTGTAAGGTAGGTGATTGTAACAAGTCTATGACTTATTTAAGGAATTGCTTAAGACATTCTAAGATTTGCTTCTTCATCCTAGTGAAAAGTCGAAACTATTTTTAAAATTCAAAAATATATCTTCGAGCGCATCCTAATCACTTACATTTCAGTAATTTCTTAGCTATGCTCCAATTATGTGACTCAATTTATTTCAGATATGTTACTCCGTATACCAAGTGTATTTCTGGAATCTACTGAACCAGAAACAAATGTAGAAATGAAACAGATGCAAAAACGGAGATAAATTAACATTGAGAACATAAAAAACAAAACATTACATATATAATCGTTAGCATAAATCGAACATTACATTTCAACATTTTCATAATATCTTCAATCGATCTCGCAAACGTCACATCCAACTCGATCAGACCTTTAGTTTTGTAATGGCTAAATGTATTCCATATAACCCATAAATCTGCAACTGTCTTAAGCTCAAAGTTGTTTAACTGAATCTTTTCTTCGTTGTCAATTGAGGGTGAACAATACCCGAGTTTCACAATTTTTTTGTATGTCTGATTATTATAGGATATTTTTAAGCATGAATTTCAGATCTATAATAAGGGTGTAGTCATTGAACTTAAATTCAAATGAGGGCATTGCGTCGTTGAAGTAGACATATGTGACATGCCAATTGATGTTTAGTGTAACGTGATTTGGTAAAAAATATGAGATGTGAGGCTCATATTTATACAAGTTCTAAGTAAATATGGACCTTAAAAATTCAATTTTGTACCATGGAAATTTCGGAGATGCATTTTCAGATACACCCTATTCTGATATTCTGGAGATGCATTTCCGAAACCACCTAACACATAATCAATTTCAGAAATAGAACCCATTTTTGAATGGAAAGTAGAGAAATATTTTAGAAACCAAACCATATATTAAATTTTTTGAAAATGTATATATATTTGACATCATTAGTATCAAGACAAGATTACATACAAAATATGTCTAACCACATAAATACATTGTTGAATACAAAATAAAATAAATTGAAACATGTTCACAATTTAAATCTATATGTATGGTTGATTGCGCCTTTGACTTTTGTTTATTCGTTTCTCTTTAAATCTTGCTCAACTTGATGAATTCTTGCATCCTATCAAAAAATGATCCGACCAAGTTCCAGCTTTCTTTGTTGAATGAGTTGTCCACTCCATTGATGTTAGTGGTATATGGCATCCAAATTTCAAATAAACTTGAACAAAGTGTCGTGGTTTTGAAAGTCATCAAATACACATAATACAATAATTTGGATTTTGAGGTGGTGCAATGTGCAATGGAAAAAATGTTTTCAAGAAACTGTATCTTGTCAGATCAATACACACTCTTCATGCGCACTTGCTATAAGATGACCCATTTTTCTCCAGTGTCGATCCATTAATGTAAGGAACAAGGGATTCATGAATTGCATCAAAAACTTCTTTTTTCCCGTATAGTTGTGTGTATGATTATTTATAGTCCTTCAACTTTTTGATAAGTTGTTGGAAAAAAAAGGACGATCCTTCTCTCCATTACCGAGCAAAGCAAAAACAACTCAAAAACCGCAGTTACCGTCACTCTCAATATTGACGAGCCGTTCAATGTAATTGTGCATAAAAATCAACAACTCGTCAATGAATTAAATTTTTGGTAAAGGCGGGGGTTTGCTAATGCGAGCTGCTTTGAAAAGACTTTTTTGAGATTTTAAAGTTGGAGAACCCGGAAAAAGTTTGTCAACCTGTTCAAAATACGAAGGAGACCGCATAGTTGAATTGTCACTCGGTGTTGGTTTAATCTTCTTAAGAGCACATTTTGTTTCTACCGGTTGAGACAGTGGTTTCAAATTAGTGTTTTATGGAAAATCAATCTTCTTTATTTGGTCTTTGATGTGGAGTTTCATATTATCATCGGCTTTCAAAAATATCTCTTGTATCACTTTTCATTTGGAAAAGATAGAAATATTCAATTTACCATGCTTCATCACACCATCAACATCGAACCTGATCCTTTTCATATTCTTTGTAATTAGACAAGCACATGAGAAACCATACGTTTTCTGAGTGTGCAACCACACTTTGAGTTATCGGAACCTACATTCTCAGCTCGCTTGACTTCTTCAAAAATAAAATTCAAATCTGCTTAGGATATGTTACCGACTAACTAATAATAAAGATTGTTGTCTTTGAATATGTATTCTAACATTGTGTTGCTACGACCA